CTATGGATACGAAAGCCACTTACAATGTTTGTTATTCTCACTTTCATTATCCCCAATCTTATCAGAACTGACTTAAAGCAGCAAGTCCACGGCTGTAAACTAGGCTGATGAGTAGCAAAAGGAAGACGGAGAGCTCCAAAAGATACCCAATTCAGACACGGCGAAGCTTGAATCACAGTCCATGAAGGACATCCATCCAATTGACTCGACATTTTTTACCACGATTCAAGACCTGATAAGATGCTGAGCAGGTATGCAGCTCAGGTGCGTCTTTCAAAGCTGTGTTGGAAGTATCATGTGCGTGTAACAATGGCCTCCATAAGCATTCCATCGTGTATTTTGGATGATTTATCTGCTTCTCTTTTCTCGAAGGAAAAAAATTCATTCCAAAACCAGAACTAGTTGCTCTTCAAATCTAATATCATGATATCAAGCATGGCTTGAGTGAATATGACGCTTATTTAAGTCGAAGAGATCAATGGTCGTTAGACTTCCGTTACATTGTCCAGTAAAATCCAATCTGAATTGGCTGGAAGATCTAATGAAATTCCAGATAAAGCTGTACCCATCAAACTATGTACTTAAACATCCTGAAAAAAATACTAGAAAGATTTCGTTATGAAAGACGAGATTAATTTCGTGCATCTGATTGAAGTCGTACACATGTTCAGTCTTGTCAATTCACAGTACATGACTTTCAAGACTACAAGAAGGTAGCAGGACCAATTCAACCACAGTCTACGAGAGCTGTCTCTGCATTTGGTAGATTAACAAGGCAAATATCAGAAACACTGCTCGAGGAAGGTGTTACCATCGCCCGGCCAATAAGAAGAAGATTATCTCTACACAAATGTAGAATGCGATAGCTCAGATTCCTCATTTCTCACTCCATTCGAAGAGAAGGTTAGATTTCCTTCGATAAAAAACGTTTTCAGATGCCGGACTTAGGAAGTTTGGAGTGGAGTAGAATTCCACTACATAATCTTATGCCACTGACTCTAATCAGGGAATAGATTTCCTTCGATAAAACGTTTTCAGATGCCGGACTTATGAAGTTTGGAGTGGAGTAGAATTCCACCACATAATCATATGCCACTGACTCTAATCAGGGAATATGGACGTGGGGTACAATTCCACGAATACCGAGATTTGAAGGCAGAAAAAACAATTAATGTCCAACAAATGCCATTGAGATGAACGCAAGCAAGTTGTAAGACCACATCTTTCAGATTTACTCACAGACGAGCCCAGAATCCAGGTGAAGTTAGGCGCCATTTCGAAATACAAGCTCGACACGAATGGTGTCTATGGCTCAACCCAGTATGACAATGTCGGCGCCCACGCGAACATTCTCAGTGGTTGGTAGTTCATTTTATTCAATTTCCTGCCTTCTACAACGTCTGAATACAACCACTGTAGATTTGATTATGCTTATCGCACTTTCCAGTAACGAGGATATTCTGTTAGACTTTGCTGACATTCTGCTCGATTATTGTCCAGGGTACGACAAGACGATGGTCGTCAAGGATAATTCTCTTGGAAATGAGCAGTATTTCTGATAAACTCAGACAATGCGTCCAGTCCTGAACGAGGAAACTGCTAGTCAAGTTTCTGAGTTTTTATAAGTGATACATGTACATCCAGTGTCTATATGAGATTCATGTCTTGCGATGTCATATACAACATGCGATCTTTCGATTTGCTCCCAGTAAACACTTGAGTCTGAGCATTGGCTCAAACGTATGTTCTATCTTTTAAATGCAATGCGCCATCTTGATTTGCTATTTTCTATATGCCAGTCATACTTGTCAGATCATCTTCAATATCAATTAGTACGAACCTAAAAACTCACGTGAATGATGCATGGTGAATTGGTTGACTCCTATCAAATTTTCAACTTTGTACAAATATACATGCTTTGCTTGGCCTGAAGCTGTCTCATATCCTAGTTGAGCTAAAAAAATATCAATAAATCGTGAATGTGTCGATCAAAAACGGTAACGAAGAAACCATGAACGCAGATGGCGTTACTATTTTAGGGCTTATTGGTTGCTTAAGATACCAATGATGAACTAACTTTAGGATCATAATCACAAAATCCGGCAGCTACATTTTGCGTGATAAAGGAGATACTCGATTTCGTGTATCAAAGTTACCAGTCCTAGCCTCGTCCGGCAATCCTAAGCCTTTACTGATAATTTTAAGTCTTGACGACGGTCGATATACCATTCTCCTGAGCTTACTGTCTGTGAGCAGGTGAACACCAGATGGATTTCGAGCATCTCTCCAATCGATCTGTTCATGAGGACGATCATGAAAGGCAGCTGCGCCGTTCAGGAGACACCAACGAATTGCTAAATGCAGAGAAATTAAAGCGAAGAAAAGGAGAAGACCGTTGCACATCTTGAAGTATCACGTTGGAATTTGGACTTAAATGCAACATACCAGGCCAACTAGTTGAGAGATGTAGGCTGAAGTGCTGATAGAAATAAGGCCAGCAGAAATTGCTTGTCCGTTGCACAGGGTGCTCCTTGAAAGGTCGGATTGTGGAAGGCAGATAATTCTTCACAAAGATAGAATCAGTCGCACCTTTCAGCACTATACACCTCGATCGGGTCAGTGTAACGAGCGTCCTCTCTACAAGATTATGATACGTTTTCCCCACGCTCCTTGAGATTGTTGTTTTTCCGCAATGTCTGGGAATCAATTAAGGTAGATCCTAAATTTAATGGTCGAAAAACTCGACGCTTACTGCAACGATAGATCGGTTTTCCTCCCGTTCAATGCAAGAACACTGAAACAATGAAGAACAGCGAGTTCGAATTGAAATTTCAGCAGTTTGCCGTAAGAAAGCTTCTATGAGATTCACGGAGGACAATAGCGTTACATATGGTGTCTTTTTTTCCTCTCAGTCTTACCTCCGCTCTTACCTCAATTTCAAATTTATTAAGTCTGTTTGCAAATCATGGTGATAGTTTGCCGCTATTCACTAAGATATTACCAAGGTTCAATAGTACAGTAATCTGTATTCCTTGTTACAACACTTTTAAATTTCACTTCAATTTTATTAAAATTAGCCTAATAAATCATGAGTAGATCAAATGATTAACTTTATGATCAGAATTACATGATTTGCAAACATATCATCATGTTTCTTATTATCTTGGTACAAGAACATGAGAATGCAGAAGATTCTACATTTTAGTTAGCTTATTTCTGATGAAATTGTTGGTTTGATTTTATTCTTCATTTTAACTAAAACATGTTTATGGGTTTTATAGCTTTAAATTCAATATATTTGGTTCCATGCTCCAATAGTGAGGAAAATATTGTTGCTAATTTAGAATTAGTGGCCATGCATTGCACTTTGAAGATTGAATGTTAGATTTTATGAGCAATCACTTATATAATTTTCTTGATTTTATGATCAAACTTCAAAATAAACTCATAATCCTTTACTTCAACATGCAAAATGTTTTTACGTGCATATTCAACTTTTTTTTTTCTAATTTTAAATAATTTTGATTTTCATTCACAGGTAGCACATATAATTATTTTTTTGGACTAATTTCAACATTTTGAATTAATTCTGAAAATGATGATGCTGGAAATTTAGTTATCCTGATTCAAAAGCAGTTGGTTTAATTTACAAATTGTAATGTTTCAAAAAATAAATTTTCTATCATTTATTTCAATCCATTCAATAATTTTATTGATGTTGCATAAACTCATCTAGTATTTTCCAATTCAAAATTTATTGTATTTCGTATGTTACATGATTGATTCTTAAAAAAGGTTTGTATTTGAATGGTAATCATTAGTTAGTGCCACCTCCACATTTGATGAAATTGAAAAGTTCAAATAACATCCACTATGCAATAAAATCACTTGCGTAAACAATGTAGGTGAAATCATAAACTCAGATTGGATAAAGATTATAATCTTGGCCTCGAATGCAATGTCTTGTATAATCATTAAATAAAAAATATATGGATTGAATGTACTATAAGCAATCACACATTTTTCAATATAGAAAAAGTATGTGCATATATTCAGTAGAAAAATCGAACAAATATATATTAAATGAAGTATTATAAATAATTATTGTTTAACAACGATTATGTAAATTTGAATAAAAAATCGTTATGGAATTATAATTGTATAAATTGTGGATAATCAAACAAATTTTCACAATTCTGTTCCAATAATCTAGTCAGTAAATTTAAAAATCACTTTGAATTCGAATTGAAATGTAGATATTACTTTAGTAAAAAAAGAGATGTTTAGACTCATTAGTAGATTGGATATATGTTCACTCAGAGAATTCGTATAAATATATCAATGCGCATAACAACAGATTTTTAATATTTATTCTTTCTTGAAGCTTCGACATCAATTTCATTGTACTGAGAGAAAATTACAATTCATGAGGATGGAAACAGATTGGAATATTAAAGTACCTTTGGAAATTCTTACAAGCTACCTGTTAAAACCGATAAAGAAATAACAGAGATTTATGTGTTATCTATTCTAAGTTAGAATTGTGAGTTTTGTTTCGACAAAACTCTAGATGAAGTTTTATATCAGTCATTGAGCTAGTGGCTGGAGCTAGATTAAATTTTGAGATTCTTGTACCATCAATTCATTTCTGAGGTAATTCTTGAAAGACACGAAATGTCGTTATTCTCTCTTCTAATGTCAGAGCTATGGGATATACTTAATTATGTGATAGTATATAAGCAATGCAAATTTGTCTTCGATTAAACAAATATAGTTACCTGAATTTTGTTCCAAGTGCATGTTACTACAACTTCTCCATCTCGTCAGCCTTGATTCAGTGAGTTTGACTGTTAACATTCAAATTTTTTCTTAGCATAGAGTGATTTGTCACTTCTGTGTGATTTAAATATTACATATTGTATGACTGTAGCAGTTTTATTGTTACTAGTCATGCATTTCTATTCTTCTTGATGTCAGAATTCTATCAAAAACGGCGCATTGCGGTGAAAACACAATATGAATGTATTGTGAACACACAATACATACATATTAGCTTGATGCAATCTGGGCTTACATCAAGTTTCAAGCATTTACTGGAGATCAGTCGAAAGACTGCGTGTTGGACTCGCCACCGTCACTCACAAAACTCCTATACATACTGAATTTACAAGGAGCAATACAAACACTCGCAATCTCGACTAAGTCTAGCAGTCTTTTCGCTGGGGATTGGGAAACAATATCTGAGTTTATCAGAAAGACTGCCCATTTCCAAGAGAATTATCCTTGACGACCGACGACTTATCGACCCCTGCACATTGATCGAGCAGAATGTCATCAGAACCCAAAGCTTTTACAGCAAAGCCCAGCCAAATATTCTTGTTACTGGAAAGGGAGATAAGCATAATCGGATCTACAATGGTTGTATACAGACATTGTAGAAGGCAAGGAAATTGAATAAAAGGGAATTGAGTAAAAGAGCTTACAGCCACTAATAAAGTTCGCGGCGGCTCCGACATTCTCAGACTGGGTCCATCCATAGACACCACTCGTGTCGAGCTTGAAGTAGGTGTTGGCAGGCCCTGTGCTTGCCCAAACCTTGATATTTGTGTATTGCTGTTTGATAGTCACGCCCGATCGTCTGTAGTACAGGAACTTGCAGAAGAAGCCCTTGGCCGACGCACCGTTGGGGCAGGTGCTAGCTTGGAACTCCTTGTCTTCACACTCACCGATGGTGTCGCTGAGCACGGTGACAATGTCATTGGAGTCCAGGCAATCGCAGCGGATGATGATGAAATCATCCTTCGGCAAATAATTCATGATGGTGAAGGTCTTGCTATCGGCCGCTGCAGCATTGGACACCATCGCCAGTTGCAGAAGGACGACACATATCACTAGAACGTAGGCTCTCGCCATTGGGAAGAGTAGAACGCGAACGAAGCAGGCTTCCAACTCACAGCGTATAAAACAGAACTCTATACGAGCACCAAACTTGCCCCGAATAGTGCTGCTGTATGGGGAGCAAGCAGGTGCTTTAAGTAGGCAGAATTTCCTAGACGGAAGAACGGGAATGAGCCACTTCCACAAACCGATGTTAGTCTTTTCATTGATCGTCAATTGATATAGGCATCTCCTGCAACTCCTCAGACTAGTGAACATACCATCTTCATCCCTGGATACGCATGTGCTTCTGATCTCGTGTCAAATCGATTTGTCCACGTTTTTAGCGTAGGAAAAAACACCGTCTGTACTTGAAAAGACAAACGCCGGCAGTTAATTATTTAAGGTCTAGAACTTCTTCATCGCTGGCTCCTGTCAAGTCGATTTGTCCACGTTTTTAGAGTACGAGAATCAACCGTCTGTACTTGGAAAGACAGACGCCTCCACTTGATTATTTAAGGTCTAGGACCTCTTCATCCCTGGCTCCTGTCAAGTCGATTTGTCCACGTTTTTAGCGTACGAAAATCAACAGTCTGTACTTGGAAAGACAGACGCCGCCACTTGCTTAGTTAAGGTCTAGAACCTCTTCATACCTGCCTCGTGTCAAGTCGATTTGTCCACGTTTGTAGCGTACGAAATCCACGGTCTGTACTTGGAAAGACAGACGCCTCCACTTGATGATTTAAGGTCTAGGACCTCTTCATCCCTGGCTCCTGTGAAGACGATTTGTCCACGTTTTTAGCGTACGAGAATCAACAGTCTGTACTTGGAAAGACAGACGCCTCCACTTGATGATTTAAGGTCTAGGACCTCTTCATCCCTGGCTCCTGTGAAGACGATTTGTCCACGTTTTTAGCGTACGAGAATCCACAATCTGTACTTGGAAAGACAGACGCCACCACTTGATGATTTAAGGTCTAGAACCTCTTCATACCTCTATACGAATGTGGCTCTGACCTCGTGTCAAGTCGATTTGTCCACGTTTTTAGCATACGAAAATCCATGGTCTGTAGTTGAAAAGACAGACGCCTCCATGTGATGATTTAAGGTCTAGAACCTCTTCATCCCTTGACACGCATGTGCTTCTGACCTCGTCTCAAGTCGATTTGTCCACGTATTTAGCGTACGAAAATCCATGGTCTGTACTTGAAAGTATAGACGCCGCCACTTGATAATTTAAGGTCTAGAACCTCTTCATCCCTGGACATCCATGTGCTTCTGATCTCGTGTCATGTCGATTCGTTCACGTTTTTAGCGTACGAAAATCTAAGGTCTCGAACCACGGGTAAAATGTTCGGCAGGTATAGGTCCTGTAGGTGCCGAGTCCACGAAAGCGAAGATGCGTTTGAGACTTTACGAATTCCACCCTTGAAATTTGTGGCGACCTTTATCATCTGACAAAATCTTGAGCCTCAGCAACGGTTTTTTTTTCCCTGTGCAGGATCTCACTGCCATGGTTTTAACACAGTTCTGTTCGTAAAGTAAAGTCAAATCATTGTTCCGAGTCATATCTGAACATGGCGACATGGAAATTAAACTGCACAACTACTACGACAAGAAACTGGAACATGAGTCATCTTCAAATCTTTAGTAATATATGTCAGTTTTGAGAGCTTGATGTAGTTCTCCTTTGTTCTGCAGAAACTTTTTTTATCTGTGCATAAATAATAAAATCTGGAAGTCTGAAAAAAAAAACTGAGAATAACTCACAATTCGAAAGATTGTGTTAATTCTCTAAAATGCGTACATCTATTTTGAAAGTAAGTTTCTTGGATTGAAAAAGTTGATAGGTTATTAGTATTAAGTTTACAAACTTACAAAGTCAAGATGGGATTGTTGAGTCTCATACAACAAATATAGAAATAGATACGTTCATCAAGCAGGAGCTAAACTTGTAGTCTTTCGAATTAGTGTCATGACAAACATGATATTCAATTGGAGACAGTATGATGACAAAACTCAAAATTTATTCGTTTTCTGAAAGTTCCTTCACCAGAGAGAATAAAAGAAGAATAAGATAATCTCATGTGCTCTTAACTAGTTTTGTACACGGAAATTTTTATTGGGAACTTGATAATGCAATGAGATTATTGTCTCTGAGGTACAAGGGGGATCCAGGTTTCAGAATCAAGACCACAAATTTTGTTCGTAAGTTTTATACCGAGAGTACATTGGCATTACTCGAGGGATTGAAAGGGCTTTGGAGCTCAAACGAATACTCCTCCTGGATGTACAGTCTGTATGAAAGAAGATCTCAGATCCTGTGAATCGACTTCAAAGCTCAAAACTTAAAAAATACTTATTTCCAACCAGGATCCAGGCATCTATAACATCATGAAAGATCGAATGGATAAATGATTTGGAAAAATGATAATCTCTCACACTCTCTTGAGTAGCTGCTACGTAGAGTTATCACTTGTTCGAGCTTCTCAGATGAGGGAGAGAAGGTACTGTGTACTTCCCGGACTTCGTCATGCGGTTATATTTTGACTGCTTTGGTTCCTGAATAGTGTTATGTGTCTCCCGATCATGAGATTTCTCTAAGCCTCGTACGTGAAGGAGAAGAGGTACGTCCACAGGATTGCACGGATGCATTATGTTCGTATGATCGATCCATTTAGCGACGACCTCAGGACCACCAACATGCTCACAAAATTGAGCTCAATGAGCAATAATATTCCCACATAGAGGGAGTGCAGTTTGAGTGAAGGCTAGATTTGTCTGACTTTTGAGGAATTCAAGACATCTTAACACCTCTGATAACAATGGAATTGAACTGTTGTGATATTCAAGCAAGAACGCACGGCATTTCCAGGAATCACATGTATACAGCAGAGGCAGATTTAATATTTGAACCGTTTTCAAGTACAAGGGGTTCCAGATCAGTGCAGACTGGAGAGACTGAGACTGGACGGCATTATCATCCAACAACAAGATGTGTTGAAAGACCACATGTGGGACGCGATCATGGTCCTACTGCTAACTTGCCTCTTTGCTGACATCCTATAACAGGCAATTAGCAACAGGTACCAGCAGCACCGGTGGCTCTAGTATACATGGGCTTTTGTGCGGCAGTTTTCGTTGCCGAAGGTCTCAAATTCGCTGTTTCCTGCACCCTTCAGCGGAGCTTCCGTTGAAATATAGTTCGACCGCGTCCCTGCAAGACATACTTCATAGGTTAGCGCCAGATGCCAGATTGCATCTCGTACTCATCGCAAAAGATTATATAAAAATTGCTGCTTGCTAAGCGAAAAGTGGATTTCTAGCATTCTTTGCATGGCATTCGAGTGATATAGACGCTTTCACTTACAACCGCTCAGGAATTCCCACTGGGCATCTGCTCCATTGGAAAACGAGAAACCGTCGAGGTTGACCTTGTAGAAAGTTCTCTTCGGCCCTTCACTAGTCCAGAGCATGACAGGCGTGCGCAAGATTGTCTCATAATTGGGACGTGTCCAAATGAATTCACAAAGCATCTGCTCGGTGCGGTAAGTATCCAACTGAGATCCGTCATATTCCTTATATTCGGGTGTAGGTCCACAAAAACGAGTCGAGATTTCAACACCGTGACATTCCTTGATATCAACGGGAGCTTTGACAGTGAGCTTCCCGCATCGACTAAGGCATGAACATTCCATGTAGAGGCTGGAATCACCGTCTGGCAGGAAGTTTTTCACCGAGAAGACTCAGGCCAAAATCTTGCCAGTGCATGTTATGCAGGAGCTCGCACTCACTGAGATCAGCTGGGTGACCCTTGTAACGACCAGCATTGAACACAGGAATGTATTTCTGAACGAAATCATCGTTCCACTTCGATCAATGAGCACAGCTGAACTCTATGTCAGACTGATACGTTCGCTCTCTGTCCACTCTTCGAACGCAATTTGCAAATAAGCAGAAGCTAGACTGGGATGTGGATGGCTCTAACATCACTGGACTGAGCACAAGGCAAAGGATGATGCCGGAATTCAGATCTTGTGTGGAGGTCAGATTCTGATAGCTCAAGAACTACTGCGATGAGCGCAGCTGTTTATTTCGCTAAAATAGTCAAGTTAACCATTTTCTAGGGAGAGATTTACCTTCTTTATACCTCCTGTTCTTATCTAGTGATTTTGTTAGCTTTCACTTTGTATTGATTTTAAATGTTCCACTCACGTGTGATTTTCTATGCAATCATTTCTATTTGTACGAATGTCTTTCATCAATGAAAAATTACATGTTCAGACATTAGTAAACGTTGTCTTGATTATATATATGTATTTTTTGATTTTAACGTTATTCAATAAATGTAATTTGTTCAAGTAAAAATATCAGCTGATTTATTATGATAAACATAGAAAATATTGCTCAAGTTCAAATTGACATTAGCTATGTTAAATTAATATTTTAGAAAATAATTTGAATTCAATCAACGAACAGATTCCAAGTGATATACTTGATGATTCCAAGTGATCCCAGAAGTGTGACTTTATTATCGTCTTTCAAATCAAATTAATTGGTGTCGGGAGCATTGGACTATGTTTGCCAAACATTAACATGTACAAAAATAAGTAGATCCTGCAATTTCTTGTTGAATTACAAAGATATACAACTTCGCTTTTGTTTGTATGAAACTGAAATGTACAGAAGGGAATATAGATTTTACCGTTTGGCCTAGTTGGACACCTAACCTTCAAAGCTGTTTTCATGTGTATGAAAGCTTCATACTCTCGAGCTGCTCTTATACACATGGAGCGTGTATGTGAAGATTTTACGTGGACACAGATTCACACAAATCGCGAGCAAGGGATTGATTGCTCTTGTGACTCGTGGAAGTGAGAACAATGTTAATCCTGTAGCTAAACAGGAATAATTAAACAATATTGAATTATAACTGTAGTATAGATCTTGGACTTATCGGTTGACAAGTAGATAGGGTGTGAATCGTTTCAGAAGATTTTCTCATATGCTGGTCTATCAGCTAATTTAGCTTTTCTAACGTCTCCGACTGTGTAAGACAGGAACCTTTGAAATCGACAAAATGATTGATATATTTTCCGACCATTCTTGCTGCAAGGAGACCAGAATATGAATACGAGAATACAAATTCGGAAAGATTTCGCGCAAACGTAGAGATCCACCAACGAGAAAATTTTTTATGATTTTGGACTTCTGT